CAAAGTATTAATAATAGTCCATAATGAATTTACTTCCAATATCTTTTATTAAAAACCCAAACGTAAGTGATGTGGCAAGTCAACCGGAAGGCTCTCATTCACTGCGCTTGTTTGGAGCACAAGACGCATACTGCCACTCATCTGTGATAAAATGCGCAGTTACTGTGAAATAAGATCCTGTGACAGTGGGTGTCCACGTGGCAGATTACAGCTATTCTACCCGTTTTCTTCAGTGATTTCATAACGTAAGTCTTGGTGTTGTAGTATGTGTGTGTGTGTGTTGGGGGGGGGCTGCGGGTGGTGTCGCTGTGTCAGTAACATATATTCAAGACGGGACGCTGTATATCGGCTCCAAAGTCTGCAACATAGTGTGGAAGCCCTGGTTCTCACCGATGAGAACGGACGTAAATCCTTGGCGATAAAAGTTGTGATAGAATTTGTAATTCGCTTCATCCTTTCCAAGTTGGGTGAAAGCTTTGACATTGCTTGCTCGATGGTCCTCTCGTTGGCAGCAACTCCAAAGTCTGCAACATAGCGCGAAAGCCCTGGCTCTCACCGATGAGAATGGACGTAAATCCTTGGCAATAAAAGTTGTGATAGAATTTGTAATTCGCTTCATCCTTTCCAAGTTGGGTGAAAGCTTTGACATCGCTTGCTCGATGGTCCTCTGGTTGGCAGCAACTACAACCGGACGGAAAACGGGTGGAAACATAATATAGTTTCCTCTTTGGCTCCATACATTACTGGCCGTTCGCGGCTCCACACCGGAATTATACTTGTAGGTAAAAATAAAATAATCCTCACTGCAGTAAAATAAAGCTCTGCTGATCGTTCAAACAGTTTTAACAACAAATGATCTTAAACGCTAGAGTTAATGTAACCCATAATGGCTAGTTCATCTAGCTAGTAGCTAACGAAAAGGAAAAGAGAAAGATTTGAGACCAACATGAATAATTTGGAAAAGAATAGACATTTATAATTACTCCAGCTGGTTTCCTGATATGTTTAATCTGCAACGAGAAACTGTTAAACACTAGAAAAAAAAACGTGAAGCCGAAGTCAGCTTCTCAATCACCATCTTCTTGTTTGAATTTACCCATTCCACCTTAAATGGTGCAGCAGTTCTATTCTGGCGCCTCAGGCACCATTGAAGGTGGAACGGGAAAATTCAAACTAGAAGATGGAGAATGAGAAGTGACTTCAGCCTCGTAGCTAAAAAATTGGTGATGCAAGAAAAGCAGCTACAGCTTAAAGCAGAGCAAAGTAAGTCTGTGTTTTGTATTATATTTTTACCCTACTAGGGTAGAACATAAGCACATACTGAGACACATGTACAGCCAAGATGGTAAATAGGACTCAAAATGTTGTGGCTCCCAAGGTGGTTTGATTTTTGTTGAAAATACAAAATAACTCTGTTTAGCATTTGGGTTGCGACCCCTGCACTAGCTTTTAATGTAGCGTGCACGTCACAGACTGTCTGGGCGCTGCACTTCGCCAAGTTCCGCCTTTTGTGTTCCGTCAACATTGCGTTATCAATTGTTGATTTTTGACATCTGTGAATCGATTCAGAATCATCCACGTCCGCATCGCGATGCATCTAAGAATCAATTTTTCCCCCCACCTCTAGAATATACGTAAGCATTTATAAAACACAGAAGTTAGGACTTACTCAAATCAACAGTACAAAAAACACAGACACACACAGACCCACATAGACACATACATTCTTTCTCTTTCTCTCTCTCTTTGTTACTCAGACTATAGAGGGGGCCTTGGTGAGCAAATACATAAACTCACTCACAGCTATAAAGTTTACTTGCTCCTGGCTGAGACTTTCGCTCGCGGCTACAGAGTTTGTTTGACGATGGTTGAGACATTTTCACACTCGTAAATAGTATATCAAATGCTACTGTTGATTTGAAAAAAATGTATGTGTGGTGAGCTTGATGGTGAGAGGTAAATTACTCCGGCCCGACGTTAAAAGGTGTCTGCAGGAGAATTCTCAGTGGAAACCCTATAACCTAATTCTGTAGCTTTAGGGCTCTATTCATTAAGGGGTTGAATTGTCCAGGTGCTTGTTAACTGCACAGATTGTGCAAGCACCACCAATAGCAGCGCAAACAAAAAGGTCTAACTCCTAAATGAGGTGAAACTCTCTGTGCCCGCTCAATGTGACTGTTTGCCTGTTTTTGGCAGTAACTTTTTGCACTTTCAGGACTCTCTGTTTTCTAAGTGATATTTTGATGGATGGTATCTTTAAAGATCTATGGAACCTAAATCTGTTTTCTTTCTAATGGACTTCTTGCACTAATGCTTCCGCATTCTTCATAGTGCTGCTCTTGCGATTCTGGTTTTTCCGAGGGTAGCACTAACTTCAGCTCCACATAACTACTGCGGAACCAATATCAAAATATTATTGTGGTGTACCATAGTGCACTGAGCTGCAACATCTATACTTTAGTTTCTGTGGTCAGTCACAACAAACAGTGGATGAAAGCACTTATTTAACTTACACAGAGCTAAAATGCTGTATTGGTGGTGAGCCCTGTTTACTGGTGCTGCAGCTGCTTACATGAAGCAGTCTGTCTTTGTACAACATGACAGTGATTTCTGAAATATCTGTATTATGAAATGAAAGCAGAATTTGCATTTGTAGTGTCAATTTTGACAGACCTTGTTTATATTTAGCTAGCTATTGCTAACTGTAGCTTAATTTCCTAACAAGGCAGCTTTCATTAGTTGCTGGCACTAGCTGGCTAACATGGAGCAGCAGTCTCTGTGACACATTTACATCATGCCAGTGATTTCTGTAACAATTTGATAGACTTTGTTTAAGCTATCTTGTAGGTAATGGTAGGCTTTAAGGGAAAACAGCTTCCTCTAAGTAGCAAACATTAGCTAGCTGGCAAGCTATATTAGCAATCTGCCACACAGCATCATACTTTTCATTTTCACACACTTTTTGAAGCAATACTTCAGACAGCATCCACGTTTTACTGCTCACTCAAAAACATGACTCCTGGCTTGTATCTTAGCATTGCGGTTATGCTGTGACATTTTGATTTCACTTTTACACTGTGGTTTGCAGTGTGGGAGAGCCATGCAATGACACAAGTACGAAAATTGCCGGTAAATGTGACGCGCCAGAGGAGTCATATTCCAGAATAACATCTCTGGATGGAACTTCAGGAGGTAATAATAGTGGCTTTGAAGACGCTGTGCAACAATAACACAAGCGCTCAGAATATTTCTTCAGTTGTTATCTATTGTATACCTATTTTGATGTGAGGCTCTAAAAACCCAATGTAGACAAGACTACCAGAAACAAGTCCACTAGGTTAATCTTGCTCTTGCAGGTAAACATACTAAATATGCAATCAATGTATTTCACCATATTTCTCTCCTCTCAATGTCAACTAAGTGGTCTTTGGGTATCTTGGGTATTTAGCATTTAGGTTACCAATCACAAGACTGACGTCTCTTGCCCTGACCACACAAAATAGTTTCAGAGTCAGAGACTTTGCGATAAAAGGTGGTAAAAGGTGTAGATATGGGGGTTCATGGACATAGAGTATTGTGGTAAACTCTGATTGCTGGTGCCGCCATCTCGCTTCTCTCACGCGTTCACTCATGTTTGCTGATGGCAGAGCAGAGGCCCACTGACATCTCAGGGAGCCCTGATGTCTCTGCTACCTTCTAGCTCTCCATTTTTGTTAGGCTGTAATAGATAGACCTGCCGGAGTGTCTGCTGCACTCTTAACACTGAATGCTATAATCAGTCTCTCTTAACAGAACTAACTGTGTGTGCTTTCGTTAAACAACTGCCCATCTTGTGCATTCTGATGCTGTTGCTTCATCTGCCTTGATCGATTGCCCACTGCTCACCCGTCTCCTGGACCAGTTTCACCACCATGGAGCTTCCTGCAAACCTCAACTGCATGAACTGACCCTCCTGATGATGCTGCTGCACAGACTCAAACTATTTAATCATAGCCATTGCATCACCTGCTTTTCTCCTTTTCTGCATGTTAATATTTTATACTAATGGTAAAACCTTATTCTCTGCTCATATTGCTCACGTTATCGGTTTTGCTATCCGGTGACGACCAGAGGAGGTTTTTTCCTCTTGCTCTCAGGGAGTTTTTTCTTGCCACTATCAACACTAGCATGGGGGCTTGAACCCGGATGTTTCTGTAAAGCTGCGTTGCGACAACGCCTGTTGTAAAAAGCGCTATATAAATAAACTTTGACTTGACTTGACTTCACTTAGCAAGCTAAAGCTAATCCTGCATAACCAAAAGCTAGCAACCTGTTTGTACCGCATTGTCGCCCATTCGTTCATTTATCAATACACATTGTTAGTTCATCAAGTCTTTCACTCACACATTGCTACGTCCGCTTGTTCGCCTGTCTATGTGCACATCTGTTCCTTCGTAAGATGCTATATCTGTCCATTTGTCTGTCCATCTGTCCGTCCGCACCTCTGTTCATTGGAGACTTTTTCCATCCAGTTATGGTCACATAAAAGCTAGCTAATGATTTTAGTTCTGACTGAGTGGCAGAGCAAGCTATGGGTGTTGGACAGAGAGCTGGCAATCAAGATGATTATTAGCCATGTGCACATAGTTCTCAGATAGATCTGATTGGCAGTTTTGGTTTAAGGTGTTTTTCATCATGTACACCTTTTTTTATTTAATTTTTTTATTTAATTTTATTCAAGCTTGGCTGGTGTTTCATACTTTAGGTTTATATTAAACATCTCATATTTTTTGGTGATCCCTAGGACTAATTTAAGGCTTGTCGGTTAATGAATAATCACAGAATAATGACATTCTGTTATCATTCAAAAGAATGACAATTCCTAGTTTAAACATGTTTATTTTTTTCATAAATCACAAAGGCCCTCTCAAAGTAGCTACAGCTGCTGTAATAATTTGTTCAAAACGTCAAGTAACATTATCTCAAGGTTATTAAAAAACTGTCAAACCTGGATTTCTTACCGTAAATATTTCATCATACATCAGTACCACCTTCTCCTTAAGGGGTTTCTTAGATGAAGATGTCCTCCTAAGCAGACCTGCCTTCCTTTCCTGAGCCATGGCTTCACGGTCTGAAATACATCCCCAATTAATTGCATTGTCAGCAAGTAACATGCAAGTCACTTTTGAGCAATTTAACGGTTTGTTAGAGCTATAGTCTTTCTGGATTAATTACCAATAAAATTAGCACAGTGGCATCAAAACAGAATCAAAATTTTTGTTTTATGTCTCACACACACACACACACACACACATATACATATATATATATATATATATATATATATATATATATATATATACACACATATATGCTGACTTTCTAGTAAAAGGAAAAAACCTAGGTACTTTTAATGTAAGTCAATGGAACCCCCCCGCCCAAGTCATTTTGAGTAGTTTCTTTTTACACACAATGCAAAATGTAACTAGCCTGAGAGTGAGAGCCCTGTACTGCATAGATACCGTAGTAGATACTGTATGACTTCATGTACTGTTCATTACCTTCGCGATTTCGCACAATACTGTATTCCAGAACTGATAGCTTACTGTTTTAAGCATAATCAAAACTGCAGAATGCCAGTTATTATGGTTTATGCTGAAACTTCATGATGGTCGATCACGAGAACTGCGATATTAAAATAAACTGAGCTGTGTGTAGGCCACTCATGTAAGCACAAAGATACTTGCTGCCTATGCAGCAGAGTGCATAACGTGAGCTTAGTTTCGGATAACGTAGACTTACCTAGCGTTAGCTAACGGAGCTGAATCAGCTACAAGATAGCTTATACACTAGTACACAAGATAGCGTATACACTAGTAAAAACTTGACTCAACTTAAGGCGTGTAGTTTAACTTAAACTATAAGTCTGACACCAGTCTGCTCAAATCTGAAGAATGCTAATGGCGTAGCTAGTTAGTTAGCTAAGTTAGGTACCTAGCTAGCTAATACATGATAAAACAAACAGCTAACGTTACATTTTGCATGTTGAAATGAAAGTCTTTTCACATCAGCCAGCTTTGCCTCGTAACTTTGCCTTCTATTACGGGTCGCTTGCGCTGGTGTATCTATTTAAGTAAGGTATTTCCATTAAGTAAGTAATACTTCAATCATTCTGTTCTCGCGTTCTTCTTACCTGATGTCACTTACTTTTCTATTATTCGGTCCCTCTTCTTCGGAGTTTATTTGGCGACGCGCAAACCAGTGACACTTGCATTACCGCCACCTACTGCACTGGAAAAGCTGAACGTGGCTAATAGTTGAATATTCAGGACAGGGGTGTCCAAGCTTATCCGCAGAGGGGCGGTGTGGCTGCAGGTTTTCACCCAAAACGAGTTGTAGCACACCTGATTCTTCTTCGGTCTGCTTTCGGTCTTCAAACTGCTGATCATGTCAGCTCCTGCTTTGCTGAAATGAAAACATGCAGCCACACACCGGCCGTTTGTGGATTAGATTGGACACTTGGTTCCGCTCTTTATGCATACGCAATACAAAAATACACCCTGCACCCTAACCTACGCAAGCTCCCGCTATGCTCAAACCGTTTCAAATTCAAATGTAACCTCGTTGTCTTCCATACTCTGTAAACACACAGCTTTTTCAGACACAATACAATGATTAACGCACCAGTCCTCAGCTTCACTGTTCTCGGTAATGTGTAGTCGTTTATGCTCAGGGGTTGTAAGTTTGGTCTGCCAAAAGGTGTAGGGGGACTAACATCAGGAGGTTTTAGCCTACATAGAGCAATTTATTTGTACTACATAAAAGTAAGCATATCATTAAAGCTGTCAGATTGTAATGAATACTATTCTATTTAAAACATACAGCCAGGTACGTGCTTCAGTCATTTTGTCATTAGTGACCATAACCAAACAAAACAACAGTATATTGTGGCTTCAGATGGTTTATGAGTATAACCATGAACGCAAAATCTGACAGCTCTTGTGCAGCTTACCATTTGAAATAACTACCACATAAGAAGAGGATGAATTGTCTGCAATGGTCTTCTATGCGAAATCAATCCTCCATATGTGTGGATACTTCTTAGCATACACAGACAATAATCACATAATGCTGATATAAAACGTAGTGAATTTAGCTGGTTGGCTAAGTGCTGCTAGTCTGTTTAAGCTTGTTATGGTAACACGATAATTGCTGATGTGTAAAAGTTTATGAATAAGTAATTCTTAAAAATGTATGACTAGGCTCCCGAGTGGCGCAACCGTCTAAGCGTTGGCCCTATCATCAGTTCGATCCCTGGTGATGCTACAGCCATCCGTAGCCGGGAGTCCAAGAGAGCACAATTGGCCTCGCTCTCTCTGGGTGGGTGGGATGGCTGCCCTTCTTCCCCCCATCACTCAGCACGATGCTAGTCAGCGCAGGCGTCTGTTAGCTGACGTAACAGATCTGTCGGTTGGCGCTTTCCTCCGAGCGCGTTCGGCTGTCCAGTGATGTTGAGCGGCAGTTCGAAAAGAAGCGGTGGTTGGCTTCACAGGTCTCGGAGAAAGCCTGTGTTAGCCTTCACCCTCCTAGCGTTGGATAGCATCGTGTGATTGGTGGAGTCCTAACTAGCGGATGGAATTGGAGACGACTAAATTGGGGAGAAAATCGGGTACAAATTAGGTATGAATAATACATGCTAATAATATATGTACTTTTTTGAAAATCATCCCCAGTGGCTTTGGGGAGAGTCCTGCAGTGCACGCCCCAAGGATTGGATATGAAACATACACATATTAAATTGACTCCTCATGAACACTAAATCACCCTTTCAGTATTTTCCCTGGCTGATGGGGTAGGCTGAAAGTAGCAGTTAGGGAGGCAAGCGCTTCAGACTTTATGAACAATGTAAAACGTAGGGTCTGCATTCACAATGATTTTTGCCATTTGTTGTTGACCATAATTCTGCATGCACACATGTCCAGATTTTAAGTCTTCTATTGACAAAAACCTTTAAAAACAAGTTAAAGTCACCTTTTTGTCATTTTATCATGATGTTAATGTACACGGTTAAACCTTTGTGGTTTTTGCACCAGTAGCCTTTGGCAGCATCATAGCACCCCATGGACCACTTTTACACATTACATGTCTGAGTCAAACCTGAAGTCAGAGGTGTAAAATGTGAAGAAGAAGGCTGCAAGGATTGCACCTGTGCTGGTCACAGCCTGACAGTTCTATCAGCCTTCAGGTTACGTAATTGATGATCCAGGTCACCAGGATAGTGTCCACCTCTGCAAGATGTTTTTCAGAATACAGGGACCGTTCTTAGTTTCACATTTGCACAGGTTGTAGATGTGCTGTAACACTTTCCACAGCTGATCTGCACAGGACACAGCATTTTACACCAGTAGTCTTTTTGGTGGATTAAAGTGCAAGTTGTCACAAGAGATGAGAGTTGACTGTGAGCTAACAAAAGACAGTCACCAGTTGACTAAAGTTCTTCATCTTCAGCTTGGTGTATCTGGGCCCTTAGAGCTGACACCAGAGCTGTTTTCTCTGCATGTAGTTCCCTCAGCTGTCTTATGACCTGGTCAACTGTGATGAACAGACTGGAGGTGAAGGGGGGGGGGCAGTGTGTCATCATCATCATCATCATCCTCATCATCTTCATCATCATCATGTGAAGGTGGCAGAGAAGAAGAGTGGTGAGAAGGTGCGTGAATGGGTGGCACATTGTCCAATCTGTTAAAGAAGCAATTCAATTATTTTGCTCTCATCAAGATTACCTTGATGGCCACAGGGCAGTTTTTCCAGTTTTATGATTCCATTCCATACCTCTCCCACCTAAATGAGCAGTAATCAAACCTCTGATCAAGAAGTCTAACCTCAGCGAGCAGCAGCAGAGGACTGAAGAGCTGAAAAGCTTAGTTTGAAAAGGACTGAAAAGTGGCCAGCTTAGCTTTGGGTTTTGATTTCATTGTTGTGTTGAAAATTAAAGTAATGGCTGCTGCAATACTGAACCCTGCCTCCTGTGTCTTCCTTGAGGCCATGGTAGCACAGGGTGTGCTACAATGATGGACATGTCTACGCACTGTAAAACATTTTGCGTTGGTTCAACTTAGAAATGTAAGTTCACCTGCTGCCTTAAAAACATAAGTAAACTCAACTTGAAGATAACCTTTGCTTCAACTCAAAAAGTTATACAAGTTTTTTAACTAATGATGTAACAACTTAATACCCTGAGTTAGAACAACTTACTATGTTACATTATAATTTCATAAAACTCACTTTATCTTGTCAAATAAAAATACAATTCCTCACTATTTCAACTCACACTTTCAAGTTAAGATAACTTCTGCTATATTCATATCAATTGCCATTTTAAGTTACGTACCCTAATGTTTTTAAATAGTTTCTATTAAGATTTATCATATTCACTAATATCAGCCAATTTGCCTTTTTTTAACTTCACAGTGAATTAACTTACAACTTCTCTGTTCAAAAATATCAAATTTATTTTAACAAGAACCATGTCACACAAGCTTTTACACTGCCTCTTGGTACATTTTTTAAAAAGTGTCCTCCCCTAATACTGACAGTGGAAAAGTGGAAGTTGAAGGGATGAAAGAAAGCGGTTAAAATTTAGAAAATGCAGCAAAACATTAACAAAGCTCACTGCCACTTGGGAATGCATTCCTGGTAGTAAAACAGGTTCTAAAAAAGCTTTAAGAATAACACTGCCTAAACATCTATTTTATCAAAATAATATCCAGGTTTCTCCAAAGGTTTACTGAACTGGGAGAAAGGGAGATGACAGAGTGACAAAGGCATGGAAAAAATAACAAACGGGATGAGAAAGAGGCAGATGGAGAGATGAAATGAGTGTGGGTGGAAGGAATAATGCACAGAGGGGACAGACAGAGATGGATAAGGAGGAATAGGGCATGTACAATGGCAAAACGTAACTGCTTGTCAATTACTTTAAGCTTAATGTATACTCTATATGAACAAGTTAACATAAATTTTTGACACCTCAATGGTTTGAACTTGGCCACTGACTAATGTTATGAATATGAGTATGACCCATATAATAAACACTTTCTACAAACAACAAAATAAGCATGCATAATGTTTTGGCCTCTAATCAGTGCTCAACAGTGCAAACCGACAAAGTTTTCCTCCATGTAAACAATTAAAGCGTTGATATAACACTTGACCAACATCAGGCCTTGTTATAAGAACAATTCCATGTCATGTTTCGAATGCCAATTTTTTCTTCAACAATATTTTGTCAAAACAGAGTTGCTATTCAAAAGCAATGCTGAACAGTGCAGATCAACATTACTGAGAGAAAACATGTTAAAGACTTCACAAAGTTGTTTTTACTCTTATGCATTAACCACCTTGTTATCAAAACAAGTCACAACATGTGTGTTTGACATTTTTGATCAGTGCTTGGGTTTAGTTTGACATGGTCTGCAAGATGAAATCTGTACAATGTTGCATAACTAAAGTGTCCTCCAAAGGCTTGATGTATAACAAACAAGTGTAGATTGTTTTTCAACATTTGGTCCATACATTAATTTCTCTGGGTAAGCAATGTTCAACACAGCAGAGTAAAAGTTTCCTCCCAGTTAAAGCTTAAGATGTGCATTCATCAGTCTATACAGAATAGCTCAGCAGTTTGTTTCTAAGGCCATGTATCCTAGCTGAACAGTGGTCGGGTTTTATCTTCATGATGACCCTTCTGCAGGAATTCAAAGGAGTATTTCATTTTGCGAGGGTACTCCAGATTAAGGCAGTAGATTGTGCCCATTAGCATAGCAAAACCAGTGGGCACATCTCTGAGTTCATGAAAAACGACCTCTACCACCACAGCCACGTTGAAGACTTCATGAGGAAAAGCGTCATGCAGGACACCTTCATGTCCAATCAGAAGTCCAACGCGCATTCCCTTCATGAGGACATCCAGGGTTTCACCATGAACCTAAAACAAATGGACAGATTTAGTCCTAATTTACATTGCATGTAATTTTAACAAATAACATGTTATACGGTTGGTTCAAGATATGGACACTGAAATTACTTTCAGTTTTCAGTTAAAATTAGTCAGCACCAATTTGGAGTGCAAGAAGAAAGGAAAAATTGTTGGTCACCATTGGATGGACCAGTCACCCCTCTGCCCTGCA